TCCCTGCAACGCTCTCTAAGTGGTGCTGTAACTGCCAATGCTGTACCTCTGCCCAGTGTAGACAAAGCCTGGGTTGCTTACAGCATTTCCTCTGACAACAGCTGGATACCTGAGAGTAACAAGAAACTGTGAACACAACTGAGGCCATGTGGTGCAGTACAGGCGGTGATGACCTCAGTTCAAAGCAAAGATCTGCTGTGGGAGGCTGGGTCTGGCGTGGCTGACAGAAATAGAAACACTTTTCTGTCCCTCGTTAGAGAAAAGCAGCGGTGTGGCCTGTGCCCAAGCTCCCTTGAACTGCCCTGAGCCAGCTTCCCTCCTGCCCCAACTCCTCTTCAGCTGCATGGATTCTCCCCTCAGCTCCCCTCAATTGGGCCAGCGCCCCCTCAGCCCCCTGAACGCTCAGCTCAGCTCCCCTGAACTGCTCCGGGCCCATTGCCCTCGGCTTTAGCCCCCGCAAGCCCTGCCACAGCTCCCTTGCACCCCTTGTTCCAGGTCCTCTGCACCCTGCTGCCTGGTGGGCTCTTGCTGTGGAGAAGCCTGCCTGGCTCTCTGCCCTCTCAGATCCTGCGCTCACACTGGGGAAGAAGCTGCATCATGGGCAGGGGAGGCAGCCTGCCAGGTGCTGCTGGTGGAAGGGTCAGGAGAACTGGAATTTGCTCTCCAAACCCTGCTGGGGACTCAGCTGGGGAGGCTGTGAGGTGTGAGAGAGGAGGCAGCGCCCCAGCATCTCCCATGGCAAAGGACCTATCTAGGGAGCGCTGCCCGCACCCCCTGCAGGGGACTCTGCATGGCAGCAGGAAAAGGAAACAATGGGCCTGTTCCTGTCACACGCAAATACCCCTCCTCCCCAACTCAAGTACCCCCGGCCTCCCCAGGAAAGGGGGAGGGCCCATGCTCCCGGAGAGAGAGGGGGAGCCCATGTCATTGGGCATCCCTGCCATTGCTACTTCAGATGAGGAGCAGGGCCATAGCCAGGCCTGCTGATGGGGGAAGCGGGTGCGGGGACAAAGGAGGCAGTTGGCCCAAGGCCCAGAGCTCCAAGCCCTTTACATTGCTGCCCGAGTGGCTCTGGTGACTTGTAGGGCTGCCTGCGCTCCAACCAGCGCTGGGGGTGGGGGCGCCCCGGTCCAGGTGGCATTGAGAGCCAGCTTCCCTACTTCCTGCCCCTTCCAGGAGCGTGGAGTGTCCCCCACTTTCCCCAGGGGTCCAGCATGGCGGTCAGCTTCCCTGGCTACAGCACAGGAGAGGACCAGGGCGGCCTGTGGCTCTGGCGGGCCTGTGGCTCTGGCTTGGCTTTATTGGGCTCTTTCCTAAGTAAAATAATGACCCGATGCTGCCAGCCTGTCTTCGCAGCTCTCTGGGCCTCAGGTGGCTGACCGGACCTTGGATATTTTGCAGCACTTCAGAGCATCCCCTCCCCCCCCACACACACACTTCCTGTGCTTTGGAGCCTGAACTGCAATTTCCCAGCTCTGTCTATTCAGCTCTTTTTAGAGCCCTGCTAGCCTGTCTATGTATCTGGACTGGGAGACTTGCTCCAAAATGCCGACATAGCCATTGGCTTGCCTACACCCAAAAATTGAGTTGACCTAGCTACAGCACTAAAGACTGTGAAAAAAACCCCTGCACCTTGAGCACTGTAGTTAGGTTGAACTGCAGCTAACTCTACTGAATGATTCTTCCACTGACCTACAATTCCTAACTTCCCCTCCAGAGGCAGGTTCCCTGCCTGGACAGGAAAACGCCTTTAGTCTATGAAGGAAGTATTTATGTTATGGCAGTACAATTGCAGGACTGTAGGTACATCACCGTACAGGGGCTGCAATGTACTTACTCTCTCTTTTAGATCGCAAACAGGGGCAGCATTTTGAACCCGTTCCCTTTCACCTGCCTTTATTCATCATTAAAAGTGACGTACTTCCCCTGTTGCCCCTTTCCACCACTTCCCTCCCTCCTAGCCACACTGCATGGGATTACAGAGGGAGAGCAGAGTGGGACAAACAGCCAGTCCCCAGACAAAGTTCACACTGGGTAATCATCTCAATCGCTTGTGCAGTCTGCAGATAACTTGGCTAGGGGCTCCCCTCCCTCTGCGTGCTCTGCAGGGACCTTGAGTCGGGCCAGCTCCTGCAGCATTTCGATCTCTAGACAGACAGCCCTTATGGTTAAGGCCTCAGTGCTTCATGTCCCTTGCGAGCAGTAAGCAGGGAACTCAGTTTCCCGGAGAGGAGTGCGTCAGGAGATCCCCCTAGAGAAATACCTGTTTCAAAGTTCTTTTTTTAAAAAAAGTTATTTCCTTCCTCTCCTCTCCGCCAGTGACTTCCTTCTACCCCTCCCCTCTCGCCGCACACACAGAGGAGATCCTACAGCTGCAGCTGCAGCCTCAAGCTACCAGAGTCCAGCCGAGCCCCGAAGGAAAAGGCAAGATACACTGTCTAACTTTTCCTTTCTCCCGGAAACTTTGTGGAACGTGTTTCTGTCTGGCTGATCCCTGGGGCCTGCCAGGCACGAGCACAGAGCAGGCATTTACAAGTGGAAAACTGCCAGGTGAGTTTAACAGGAGAGCTGCCAGTCATGAACTGAGGGAGGGATTTCCAGAACTGCCAGCCTGGCACTGGGAGAGAGATTAACAGCAGAGGAGCTGCCATTCGGCTGCATTCTCATTACTCTAGACCCCAAACAGCCAGCAACAGAGGACTCCTGGCCTGGCCTGCCAAGTATTTGCATGCTCAGCCCGTACAGAGAGAAAAATAACCAGGGCTTGCCTTGACTTTATTCTTATGTGAACTTCAAAGGGAGTTGGCTCAGATCCCTAAATTCAAAGTCTCCCATGGGTTGTGTATCTCTCCCAAAACAAACAGTGCAGTGACTCTCTGGAAGAGAAGGGAGGCATCCCTTGCAGTGCCACACAGGCAGGGAAGGAGAAGGAATTAGCCTTGAATGTTTTTGTTATGACAAAAGCATTTTCATTTTAAATAGAATGTAGTGCCTGCTCCTCTACGGGCACCTTGTAATCATTTACTTAGTTCCCAGTGTGTCAAACGGGGGGAGGATGGGGGGCGGGGGGAGCCTTAGGAC